GACTTTTCCGACAACCCAGTAAATAAATGACCTTTGAGAAACATAGAAAAAATATGTCATGACTTTTCCGACAACCCAATAGTTGTCTTTGGAATGGACTGCTAAAACGCTGACTCCTGAGCCAGTGCTCACTACCAGCAGTGGACAGGGATCATCTAGGTTAAAAGGCATCTTTCAGTCTTGCTCAGGATCTGAGGCATTAGCAAAATAACAGTGTTCTGCCTGTCCGCTGAAACTGACAGAATCTATATATAACAAGCCCTTTACAAGGCAGTCAAGTTCATCCAGCTTGTGCATGTAGAGGTTTTCAAGTATACGAAAATCTTTTTCAGACTTGTAAGCACCACCTCCTGTAGCACATAGCACCACACGCAGTGCTGAGAAGATTTTATCTCTTCCCATTTGGATAACAGTAGGCAGGTCCTGGGTTGGAAATCTGATATAGTGTAAGTTCCCTCTTTGGCCAAAAAGTGTTAAATCCTTCAGTTCAAGGTGTACATCCTGAACACCAGTGGGTCCATATGCTACATTAGAAGTCAAATACTTCCAGATACTTTTCAAGCTCTAAAATTCTTGTTCTTTCTCTGCTGTGATATCAATAGGTTCAAAACATGACAGTTTTACTAGTTCCCCCAATGTCCATGCCAAACCACGGGAAAGCAGGTCTCTTGTCATCCTTGATCTTTGTGGCGACGGCCTGGTGGGCAAGGGGCAGCCTTAGGTTTAGTGCGTGGAGGGTAGTGTTGGAGACTCTGGAGGTGGCTGGGCAGTGTGGAGGCCTGGTGGGTTGCTTCCCTCGGCCTGGAGGGCAGGGTGGGCCTAGGGTGGGGCAGTGGCACCTTAGGTGAGGCCCAGCCTCTAGGGCGGCCCCCCCATCCCTGCGAGGGGCAGCCAGGACCCTAGATAATTTTTAGGAACCCATCTCCTGGGTATCTACCCCAAAAAAATCTGAAAATATTTATCCGTAAAGATATATGAGCTCTGATGTTCACTGCAGCATTATTTACGGAGGCCAAGGCATGAAAACAACCAAACTGTCCTTTGATAGATGATTGCATAAAGAAGATGTGGCATATATACACAATGGGATACTACTTTGCCATAAGAAAATATGAAACAGTGCCATTTATGACAACATGGATGGGTCTTGAGATTATTATGCTAAGCAAAATAAGTCAGACAGAAAAAGTCGAGAACCATATGATTTCACTGATATGTAGGATATAAAACTGAAAACAACAAAGGAACAAGATAAACAAATGAAACAAAAACTCAGACACAGACAATAGTTTAGTGGTTACCAGAGGGTAAGGAGGGGCAGGGTGGTAGATGAGGGTAAAAGGGATCAAATATATGCTGATGGAAGAACTGACTCTGGGTGGTGAACACACAATGTGATATATAGATGATGTATTACAGAATTGTACACTTGAAACCTATGTAACTTTACTAACCTCTGTCACCCCAATAAACTTTAATTAAAAAAAAACTACCTATAAAGCTGATTTTACTAAATAGAATATTTTAACCACAGTACCCTATTTTTTTTAGTTTATTTTAGTCCTAATGGCTCTGAATTAGTTAATTGAGAAAATTATATAATGACCAGTAAATAAGTGATTATATGTTTGGGCCCTAACTAAATATAATCATTTTCTATCACTAAAGTACTTGAATATATTTATTTCAAAGACTGCATATAAAATAACAATACCAGTTTCGTTTTAATCAGCTATAATTGCTGAGACTCAGTAACCAAAGAAACAAAAGTTGTCAGCCAATTCCTGTCTCTTATAAAAGTGGATGATAATAGCGTTTTATCACCGAATGTAGTACGAAATAAAGATGAGAAGACTTCTTTACAGAATGTAACTATTCAATTACATGAAATACAACAATTTTGCTTTCTAAGTGCTATTTTCTACTCCAAGAATAAGAAACCCAAAGCAGTCAGAACAAGAATTTCCAATCTATAATCTGTGCTTCTCAAAGGATGCTCTGAAGACCACTATGTTAATAAATGCATCTGTGTTACATTAATAGATCTTGTTTGGAAAACAAGTTCTCTGGTAAAATGAGCCTCCGAGATGCTGAGGTAAAAGCTTACTTAGTCTCATAGTCTTTAAGATGGTAACGCATACTGCACATTTTTAAGAGGTATATGCCACAGCCTTTCCCAAACCTTGTTGACAACAAGGTCTTTTTCACAGGCCATCGGGTGAACACTTCATGCAACACACTTCAGGAAATGCTGTGCCAACTGGAGATGTTTTTTCTTTTAGAAATAACGAGCTGTGGAAAATCTATTTTGTAGAACCCGCACCTATTAAGATTCGTTATTATTATATTCAGACAATAGTATCAGATTATGACCCCCTTTCATCATAAAGACTATGAAAGACTGCAAATCCTGCTCCCCTTTTATCGTGGGTCTAATGGTTTCCATAGAGTGTGTGTGTGTGTGTGTTTAAAATAAAGACTTTATATTACAAAGGTAAGGACTTTTATATAAAAGCCGATAAGTGAGTGAGGAATGCACTTTAAATATAAAAATTGTAGAAAAGTATTGATAAAACATAGGTAACACAGGTTTGAAAAGATGAGTAAAAAGGATATAGTTCCTTAAATTACACTTAAACTTAATCCTAAATACAAAACTTGCTTCCAGACAAACACAAGGATTAGCTACATTTTCAAACACTCAGCACTACATTTACAATCTAAAGAAAACCATAGACATAGATTAAAAAAATAAAAATAACAGTGAGCTCTAGGTAAAAGTAGTTACATATATGACCTTATTCTTGTTTCCAAGTAACATTGTTGCTAGCAATCTCGTCAGGGAAAAATCTAAGTACTATACCACTAACAACAATCTCATTGGATAAACACTGATTTAACCTAATTTTTTGCAGTCCTGCTTTGAGAAGTAGAGAGAGCAAAAATGACTGCATCAATTAAAGAGATTATCTACTTCCTCCAGGCAGAGTTAGGTGCTCTTTCTTCTATTCCAGTTGCCCTTTACATATAACAATAGCAAGTATCATACCAATTCTTATCTGAATATCTTATTTTCTACTATGTCTTCCCCAAAAGCAAAGATTATGTCATACCTATGTATTTACTAGTCCCTGGCCCTTAGCAGGGTCTTACTCATATTTGTTGTATTATGAGTGAATCAAAGAAGAAAGAACTGTATTCTAAGGAAAAATAAATACGTTTTCTAAAGCAAAGGTTTAGAATAATTTAAAACAATGCTTAAGGATAATTTCAAAAGTGAAAACCATAAATATCATTCAAGGTATATTACTATTTCCTTTTTCTTTTGGTAGTTACATACGGCTGTCACTGGCCATGAACAGAAGTATAAGATAAGGTATTTGTCTTTGTTCCAAGCTGCTATAACAAAATACCCACAGACTTGGTAGCTTATAAACAACATAAAAGTATTCCTCACAGTTCTGGAAACTAGAAGTCCAAGATCAGGGTGCCACTACAGTTGGGTTCTGGTGAGGGCCCTCTTCCAGGTGGTAGACTGCCAACTTTTTGTTGTGGAAGGGGTTAGGATCTGTTGGGTGTCTTTTATAAAGACACCAATTCCCATTCATGAGGGCAGACTGCCTAGTTTTGAATCTTGGTTCCACCACTTACTACTAGTTTTGTGACTTTGGGCAAGTTACTTAAGATCTCCACATCTTCAACTTTAAAATGTTGGTAATACTTCTACTCACATCATATAAAAAAAATTAAAACCACTCTATACCACCAGGATGACTAAGACAAAGTCCTTTTTCATGAATGTCTTTAGTTGCGCTGTTGTGGCTGCCTCGATGGCCTGAATCAATTCAAAGTGTTTACCTTTCATGGTCATTTTGACTTTGAGGAAGAGCCAGAAGTCACATGGTGCCAGATCCAGTGAATAAGGTGGATGAGGACACACTGTAATGTTTTTATTTGACTGAAATGACCATACCAGAAGTGATGTGTGACACGGAGCGTTGTCATGATGGAGGATGAAGTAAAGACACTCACGAAAGAAGACTTCCAGAACTGCTTCAGAAAGTGGCAAGAATGATGGGATAAGTGTGTTTGAAACGAGGAGTATTGTCAGGGGAATTAATGGCATGTGTCTTTTGCTGTAATATATTTTTTTATTAAACACTCACCATATTGATTGATTACACCTCATATTGATAAAGTTTTAAAAGTGGTAATAATCATACCTTCTAGATTGCTGAGAAGCTAAAATGAAATAATACAGATATAACACACAGTATATGTGCAATAACTGTTTATTATTATGTTTATTATTATTATTAAGAACAATAAATAGCCAACTTCCTTATTTTATAGAGGAAGAAGCAAGTACAGGAATATAAACTGACTTGTCCAAGACACACAGCTAGCCAGTGGCAGATGAAACACTAGAACAACTTCCTGACTCCTGGCTAGGATTATTTCTAGTACAATATAGGCCTCCCGTATTTTAAGTCAATTTTTACTTCCTTTTTATTATACCTCAATATCGACCTGTTTTTTATGAAAAACACAATGTATTTATGACAAAAAGAAAAGTTAGGGAAGTTTTCTGGATGGTTAAGGTTTAAAAGATCCTAATTTTAAAGGCTAAGTTTATTCAAGGTAGAGTGTCATGTTAGCTTAATTTGGTAATATATAAAATAATAAATATAGATAGTGATAGCCAGTAAAGGGAAGTGTGAGTGCTGCCAATGAAGATTTTGCCAACAAAATGACTTATGCATGTACAATGACTTTTCAAAATTAAAGATCTTCAAATAAAAAGACAAGATCTAGTTGAACTCTGATAATTACAACATACAGGATTCTATTCAATAAGTAAGAGAAACCAAGGAAAGGCAAAAAGCATGATTAGTTTTTAGATATAAAAAGGTAACTAGATTAATTTGGAGGCGATGAGATCAACCTTAACCTCACTGTCATTTATCATGAGTTATATGGCATATGGGAGAAATACTAACCAGGAGGCACTTGTGTAGAATCATCTATACCCAGTTGTCCTGTAGTTAAGCCGAGTTCTACAAAGAATTCTTTCTGAAAAATAACACACAGAGTTAACATACATCTCAGACTTTGCTACACATCATTGAAACAAAACACCTTTACCTAAACATCAGCATAAATAAAAATTACAGTGTAAAGCAAATCTTTGTATCATTCAAATACCTAAAAAAGAAAAGGACATTATTGAACATTTAAATAGTAACACACTAGTTCAAAATTTAGGAGCAGAACAAATATAATTTTTTTTACTACAAGTATTGCTGTGTAACATTTATTATTTTCATGTGAAATAAACATGAATAGAAAAGATAAAAGCTTTTAGGAAAAAATTATATATATTGGGAAAAGAAACACACAATATTTTTCCAAATGTAGAGCCTGTAGTAGTATTTTCCTTTCTCCTAATTTCTTCTAACTCAGAAAAAATTTTACTTTGATGCCTTCTGACCAATATGAGTGATCGCTAATGTTTTTTTAAAAAACTGTTTTTAAAATAGTTCTTGATTTTGCCTTTTTTAGGTAATAGTCTAACCAGTAATGTAAGAAATTATCCTTGGAGTAAAGAACTATTAACATTCAAATCTTTCCTGAAACACACATATACACAAAACAATGCAGCAATTGTCAATTTTATCTTCTAGCAATCATTGTCTGAAATTACCAATAAATTCTGTATCTCTGCTTTTTATGGTACTGTACTTCACTCAGCTCTTAATCAACTAAACACTGCAAATATCCAAAACAACTTAAATTAATTTTTAAGTAAAATTAGACCATCAAGTGCTCTGCTAAAATACAAATAAATTAGATTTCTTCTCCAGACTTCCTCTACTTAGCTAGTAACGTCTAGGGAAAGTAATCATGTTTGTCTGTTACTTAAAATATATAAAAACCCCATAGTATTCATATTGTTTTTCTTTCCTAAGTAATTAAATATTTCTATTAATATTTGCCTCAGTGTTTGTTACTACTCTAATTGCTAAAACCAAACTTCCTTCTCCTTTAAAAAATGGAATTAGTTTTAATCCTTCCTAATTATCTATTATTATTTAAGTTAGTAATTTATTAATGTCCCTCACAAGACCGTTATTCAGCCTAATATGTATGCACATTTCATTTTTGTATTGATTTGAAATAACTGCCCTTGTATTTCAATTTTTAACTAAACTTGATTTTTATGTATACTTTAAAAATGCACTGCATCATAAGTCACCAATTTTTAATGACTACACAGGTAAATTTTAATGTTAATTCTACCATCTTCAACAACTATCTTCCATTTATTTTAAAGTCATCCTTCATTGAAATCACTTAGAATTAATAATGTATTTGATTTTTTAATAAATTTGATCTTCATACTACAGAGGGACTTAAGTCCAATAAACATTTCAATATTAGGTTCTATAATCACAATGGAGAATTATACTTATGCTAAGACATGTTAGGAACATAAACAAAACCCAGAATATCCATTTTCTATTTCACTGCTCTGGACTATGTTTTACTCAACACCAGTAGACCTGGGCCCTAATCTCAGATTTCCTTCAAAACTCCCCCAAGATAAAATGTCTTCTGGGACACCTTCTTTGATATTCCAGGCTGATTTAAGCAACTCTCTATGCTTAATCAACCTCTACCAAAGCATATAATCACATCGCATTGAAATTATCATTTTTAATATACATTTCCGCACTAGCCTGAAGCTCTTGGAAGAAAGGAACTCTCTCATACACATGTGCACCCCCAGTACTTAGCATAGTGCTAAGTGGTATATATGAGAGGGCTCAACAAATATTAAACCACACTGCTGAGCTCTAGTTCCAATCTGCTGCCTCTACATGACCGAATCAGCAAACAGGAATTAGTCAGCAACTTCACCTTAGAGTTAATAAATTTCAGTATCAAGAAATTTCCTTTTAACTTGTATATGTCTATATAACACTGTGAACTAAGTTTAAGGGTCATCCATTACAATAGCGGTTCTCAACCTGTGGGTCACAACCCCTTTGGGGGTCGAACGACCCTTTCATAGGGATCGCATAAGACCATCGGAAAACACATATTTTCGATGGTCTTAGGAACCGAGACACCACTCCTCTATCCGTCTCCATGCTTCAAGACAAAATTTCATTTATTTGTAATTAGAAATAAATATTTTACAATATATAATTACATATTGTTTTTGTGATTAATCACTATGCTTTAATTATGTTCAATTTGTAAAAATGAAAATACATCCTGCATATCAGATATTTATTTACATTACGATTCATAACAGTAGCAAAATTACAGTTACAGAGTAGCAACGAAAATAATTTTATGGTTGGGGGTCACCACAACATGAGGAACTGTATTAAAGGGTCACGGCATTAGGAAGGTTGAGACCCGCTGCATTACAGGATCACAAGACTCACTGAGCCTCACCAAGTTCAATACTCATATAGACAGACCAGGGTCACAAATAAACCACGCATCCTGAGCCAGACTCATCACATCCAGGCCATGGGATTCAGGGAAGGTAGGGACAACATCCCTAACAACCACAGGACGAGAAGGACTAACCATACTTTCAGTATAGCCACAGTTTCTTGAAAATTAATCACAGGCTTTTGAGAGCCAATAGCTCAGAATGAATCCACATTCTCCAGGTCCCCTCAGACAGACAGAAGACACAATTAGTCTCTCTCACACACATGCTGAACCTTTTCATACATTATCCACTTTCTGTGGTTCTTTACTAGGAAATCCTTGAAACTTGTGCAAATGGTAGTACCTCTGAGAAGACTTCCCACCAGTTCCAGGAGAAGAATCTGCCATTTCGTCTTTTGTGCAAAACCAACGTTTTGTACAAACCACTATTAATACAGGACTTTAAAAATAACTTCTTAAAACTTAACTTTTTATCAAAGTTGTAATAGTCACAGTAAATGGTTACATGTTGTTTACTATGTTCCCCTAACAGGGTGGCTTTAAACAACAGAAATTTATTCTCACAGCTCTGAAGGCTAGAAGTGCAAAATCAAGGTGTGAACAGGGCCATGCTCTCCCAAAGACTCCAGGGAGAGTCTACTCCACGCCTCTCTCTTAGCTTCTGGCGTTGCTGGCAATCTGTGGTGTTCCTTGACTTATAGCTGCATCATCACTGCAATCTCTGCCTTCATTGTCCTATGACATTCTCATTGTGTCTCTTCCCCTCTTCTTATAAGGACATTAGTCATATTGGATGTAGGACCCACACTACTCTGGGAATCATCATCTTAACTTGATTGCGTCTGCAAAGGCTGTTTCCAAATGAGGTCACCTGCACAGGTACTGGAGGTTAGGACTTCAGCATATCTTTTGAGGGGGACACTATTCAACCCATACGTTCAATCTTAACTTATGGATCTGTACAACACTTCTATGAGATATTATTATTCCAACTTTACAAATAAGAAAACTAAGGCTCAAGGTCAAGAAAACTTGCTCAAGGTCGCACAGCCAGTAAGTGGCAGAGCAAGAATTTAAACCCAGGTTAGTTGGCTTCAGAACCTAATCATCTCACCATCATGCTATACTGATTCCACATGCAGGAAATAGTTTAAGTCAAATCAGCTAAAATAGCAGTTCCCTATCTTGTACACTTCTCTCCAACAAAACACACACATACTCACTCATAATTGGCCCACGGTCCAGGGACAATCGCTTTTAGCTTTCTTTGTGAAAGCTGTCAATAAAGCTATATATCTCCATATTTCAAGTAACAAGCGCATATTGCTATTTTTAATTTACCAATTTCAGATATCTATTGATTTTACGGTAAATGAGGATTTTAGCTCATGTACTTTTTTCCTCTCTCCATCATTCCAATATAACTATACATCAATTCTTGATTGAATCCATATTAAAAGTTTGTGTTATTATGACCATTTAAATATTATTCATGGCTGAGCCACATAACACGCCATGAATGTGTTTCCTTTCTTGTACTTCATTCAGTTCATAATTAGGCCATTTTTCACTTACACAGTTTTCACTAATCATATACTTCTTCCTACACCCTTTAACGACTCTGAAAACACCCTCCTCAATATAATTTTGCATGTGGTCAAACCTGTCAGATCATCAGTACTTCCGGTGTTTTTCTTGCAGGCACTCGTCCTGGAACCCTCCCACCTCCTGCCCCAACCCGGAGTCGCTGTGCTCTCATCCTGTGGCACAGTCTTTGCCCTGGAACTTCCTTCTCTTCATGATCATTCTGGAAATTGCTCTCTTAGGTTGAAATCCTGTTTCCTGGGTCCTCTATTTGCTCTTTTTGTTTATGGCCTTGTTTGGGGGGCACTTCTACCAACAGCTTCCTGAATGAGAGGAAAGGCTTAGATCACATACATCTGAAAAGGTCGACTCCAGCTTCTCATCTGAGGGACTGTTGGTTACATACAGAATTCTAGGCTTGAAGTCATTTGGATTTTTAGAGGCTTTACTTCAAAATTTTCTGGCTTCCAGTCCTGCTGCTGAGAAGTCAGGTGCCACTCTGATTCCTGATACTTAGATGCGTACTCTGTTTTTCTTTTGTAAAAAGTTTTTAGTCTTCTCTTCAGGGGACTTGCTATGGGTCTTCTTTGATCCATGGCATTGGGTACTAGGTGGGCCTTTTCATGCTGGAGGTTTGTGTCTTCCAGTTCCTGGAAATCTTAATAATTCCCTTACCTCTGTTTTCTCTTTCTGGAACTCCTGCTGGTCAGATGTTAGCCCTCCTGGATTGATCCTCTAATTAAACAAAACAAAACAAAACAAAAAACTTTTTCTCTCTTATTTTTCATCTTCTCAGCTTTTTGCTTTTGCTAGGTCTTCTGATAGATTTCTTTGGCTTTGTTTTCAACTCTTCTACTGTTTTTTTTTTTTTTTGCATATCATATTTTTTATTCCTAAAAGCTCTTTTCCATTCTCTAATGTTTTGTTGTTTTAATAAAATTCAGTTCTTGTTTCATACGTAATATTTTCTGAGAATATTAATGATTTATTGGGAAGAAGTAGTTAACAGCAGGCTAACCTCTTTGTCTATGTGAAGATGACCTTGGGTTTACCTTCTTTCAGCACTGTTGCCCTGAAAATGTATTGGATCACACAAACACATGTGAAAAGGGATGCCAGCTATACTACTAAGCCATGTTATTTACTGAAAAAACTATGACCCTTGACTGGTAAATTACATCTGAAATGGAAGACTATGAGTGGATTATAAAAATGTACTGGAAAAGCCTTAGTTGCCTGGTGTGGTGTCCCATGAGAATACCTGGAAGCTGTGTTCATGTGCATTACAAGAAGTGGTTCTTACTGTGTAGGAGACTTCCCTGTGTGACCCTGTCACCTCCGATTGCATGCTCTCCTTGTTGGGGCTAAGAAGTAGCATCTGGTTGGCTGTAGGGACTTGCGGTGACGATCGATCTGAGGATGGCATGCTGATATACTGACATGCAATGTTTTCTTTCCTGTATCACTCTAAACATCTAAGTGAACCTGATGACAGGTTATGCCTATTGTATCTTGTAAGTGTGAATGTAAATTCAAACCTGAAACAACTATTTGTGGTCCTAAGTACTCATTCCATACCTTGGCTATTTTTGCTATTTTTTTTTCATTTGTTTGTGTTAGTTTTGGTCACTGCCTTTCAAATTGAAAGATTTAAAATGTCTGTAGATCCCAGGCTGGGCATTCACATTTAGGAAGGAGGCAATAAAAAAAATTGATTGGAAGACCTGTCTGCAAAGATTGGGAGTGTGGTGGGCTTCACGGTGAGGAATTTTATAGCCAGCCAGCTACCTTTTTTGTAAGTGCTCTTCAAAGTTCTCTTAGTATTTTCTCGGGCATTCTATAGTTGGTGGGAGATGGGGAAGGAGAGAACTGGGAAGGCATAGCAGTGGTGGTGGGGATGAGGGAATTAATCTCACCATTTGATCAACTTTCACGGAATTCCTGTTTTCCGGACCGTGCCTCCTTCCGGGCCTGCCTTCGATCTGAGGTCTCTGAGTTCCTAGCCCTACTGTTTCTGTTTCTCTAATGAACACGCCTCTGGGCTCCTGTGGGGGAGGAGAGGTCCCCTGACCTTGCAGAGGGGCAGGAGCCTGGGGTGTCTAACCCTCCTGATACAGACTTTCACACCATCTCCACTCTCAGCCCCATGGCTCAGCAGGGCCTTCTATAACATGTGGGGTCTCCAATTCTTGAGCTTTCCAAAGTTCTATGTAGAAAATCATCTTGTTTCTTATATCAGTCAGTGTCCAATCAGGAAATAGAAACCATACCAGAAATGTGAACAGGAAAAAACAGAATTAGCAAATGCAGGAAGCAAGTGTGACTTCTAGGCTGAAGGAGGGCGAATCAAGAAAGGACAAAGAACCCAGGGAAGCGTCTCCCCTGCCCTCAAGGCTGAGATTCAGGTCTCTATGGAGATGGAGAGGTTGCCACAGGAACATGCAGACCAGGGCTGGCGAAGAGATTTGCCGGAAGATACAGGCCGAAGCTGGTTGGTTGAGGGCTTCCCAGGTGAGTGCTGCGGGTCTTCTCTATGCTGATCTGCTGACTGCCACACAAGGGAACCAGGAAAGGAAGCCTTTCTCCTGCTCCGAGGGTCCTGCAGGGTCCCTCCAGAGCCCTTTTAACACAGCCTAATATCAAGCCAGTCAGCAAAAGAGAAATGTTTTTACAGTCCAGTTCCAGTATAACAAAGCAGAGCAGAAAAAGGCAGACTGGGAGCTGAAAGATAATCAACTGATTACTCTCCATACTTTCCTTATCTCCTTCAGTGCCTCACCATGTTAGGAGCTTAATAAAGGCTGGTTGAATTTTTTAAAATGTATATTCTTTAAAAAAATTATGAAATTCACAGTTTGTTCCAATCCATTTTATAGCCATACATCAGGCGTCTGAATCCCAACAAGGTGTCTTATAAATCTATGCTGTTTACTAAAATGAGGGATAAGCAAAAGCATTTACAGGTCAATGTCAGCTCATCGTTAGACCTACTAGCAGGGCAACTCACTCACTATATGACACATTTACAATAAAAAAGGAACTTTTCTATTTATTTAGCAGATTATCTTATTGGTTAGAAATATGCTACACGAAAACATTTTTCTAATGATTGACTGTCTTCTAAAATACGTTCATTTGGTTTTAGATGCCTATACTTACCAATTCAGGGATGTCTTTTACTTTCAGAGGAACTTGGATTAAACCCAAATGAGTCCTGAAACTAAGAGAATCACCATTTTCATAATTTGGGTTGCGAAGATTAATTAATACCTTTAAAAACAAATCCAACAAAATTAATTAGTTTCTTTATAGGATGTCTACACTTATAAAATTGGCAGTCATAGTCTTCTTGTAGCACCACAAAATTAAAAACTATTTGGGGTTATGCATATACTCTAGTGACATTCTAAAATACTGTAAAATTATACTAAAATGTTAAAATGCCATAAACATGCTTATTTAGTATGACTTAATTGTCCAACTAATGATCTACCATATAAAACTAATAAGTTAAGAATTCAGTTTTAAAGAAAAACTTTTTGATGGTAAGAATAAAAATGTTTTGATTATAATAATTTACCAGAGAAAGGTGATAGAAAAAAAATTTTTAAATGCTTGATTATAATATTTACCAGGGAAAATTTTAGAACCAACTCTAACCCTTTAAAAACAAATACTGACAATGTTTTAAGAAAGATGGTGAAGTAATATTGCAGCGTATCACCTCTAAACCAAACCTACATGGAAAAATAAAAGGAAATTTTCAGAAGCTAAGCTAACAAGAAAGACCATTTACATACTCTTCAAAATTAAGCAGATATAAAAGTGAGATATTTGCATATCCTTTAATCTAGGAATCTCATTTCTCGAAGTATAGTTATGGAAATAATTAAAGATGTCTGTAAATAGTGCAGAAAGAATGTTAATGAAGTGCTGTTTATAACGGAAAAACATAAAGCAAGTTAAACATCCCACCAAAACAAGTTAAGTATTTCCACTTCAAAGAGAATTACATAAATAAATTATGATTAATTTATGTAATAAGATACAGTGTAATATGCCCCAATTACTATAAGTAATATAGGTAATGACATAAAAAATGTTCATAATACATTACGTTATTTAAAATTATAGTAATTGTAGTGTTTATTGCCGTATGATGTTATGATGAGTAATTTTTGTTTAAAATTTTCTTCTTATGTATGTTTTCTTATTTTTCTATCCATTAATATGCATTTTGGGGGAGGAATAATAATAATTTAGAAACACATTTTTAAATTGAAATTTTGAGGGAATGAAACCATCAAGAATCCAGTGAACAACAGTATAATGACAGAAACACTATCCTATCTGAGGAAGGCATTAATGGCTGATAAAATGGAATGTGCTATAACGCCAAAATTTCCCGAAAATTGCAAACACTAATTGAAACTAAAAATATCGGTGGTATTTGTTTTAAAAAATAAAAGGTTTAGCAAAGAAGCAACAGTGTTAAACACAGACTAATATAGAACAGCACAATTTTAGGCTAATTACACAAATACGGTATCATACTGCATGGGAAACTTATAAAAACAGAAAAGGAAAAGAAACTATCAATACATGGGAAATAGAAAATATTAGAAATGCAGGAACTATAACTAAGGAAGTAATTATAGAGAATGTTCTTGAACTAAAGAAGAATCTCAGCATGAATACTAAAGGATCAATTCAGCAGCAGTCCTTATGTATGACTAGTAAGGAGAAAACCCAATTAAAGGTAACCTTAAAGGTAACTATGTAAAAATTACATGAAATTTCAACCCTTAGTGCTAGAAAAGGAAAGAGTTTGGGAGAAACTGTTAAGAAGCTAAGAGAAATAATGGCATCACTATAAAGGTAATTTCTGACCAACCTAACTTCTCTTTAAAGTTAAAAGGAGACGATTTACAACTCCAAAAGGCCTGAAATAATTTCTAACAACGCTTAATGCTGGCAAACTGGTATCAGAGACAACAGGTTCAGAAAAATAAAAATAAATTGTGAAAGATTCATTCATTCACTCATTCATTCAAAACGTATTCACTGAGCAAGCGACTGCTAAGCACCGTTCTACCTGTTGGTGATACAGCAGTTAAAGGTAGGATTAACCTCCAGCTGGTTATCCATCCATGTTTATCTCCAGGGATACCTGGAAGTCTCATAGTGACCCTTAGTCAAAATGGGATCAAATATACTAACTAGTCATTTATAATGTGCTATTTAACATCCCCTGTATTTACATTGTTTATTGCATGGACTACTAAAACAAGGAAAAGATTCACTGAGCAACTATATGTTGTAGGCAGCAGGCTACATAATTCAGTCACTATTTGTTAATAAAAATCTTCCTAATTGATTTACTCGCCTCTAATCTTTCCACACTCCAATGTATTTTCCAAGAACATTTTCCAAACATAAATCTGATTACGTCATTCCACCGCTCTAGTGGCTCAGGGGTTGTTTACATGGTGATTCCTCTGCCTGGAAATATTCTTACATCATTTCTTTCACATTTTCCCCTTATTAATATACATACATTTAACCAACAGAACATACCTCAAGGAAATCCTTAGGTGCATAAACGGGCCTAAAAAGGCTTAAATCTAGAATTAAGAAGACAGATTAAAACAAAATTTCAGTTAACTCATTATATGAATGTTTATAATAATAAATGTTAATGATTATTTCATACATTGCTGTGCAGCTAGATTAATTCAAACATTTGTCATACATTTTCTTAAGTATTGGAAACATAAAAATAAAAAGACAGTCCCTCCGTTGACAGCCTGGATGACATATTCTGGAAGAAATTAAGACTCTCCCTTTCACAAATTTGTAATAGATTATTTATAATTGAATTGAAAAAACAATGTCAATATAACATAAAAATTCTATATGAGAATTCTCAAAGCACATGGAATACAAGCAATGCATTCTTAGTGAGTTCCTCTGGTTCTAGTGAACTGTTCTCCCTTTTGAACTTCTATAATACACTGCTTCTAGCCTGGCACTTATTTCTTGCCCAGTCCCCCACACTTATTATTAAGAAAGAGTAGTGAGGAATTATGTACATGTCTACTTATGCATGTCTAATTATATATATCTATATCTATATATCTATATCTATATATATTTATTATAGTAAATTATATATAGTTGTCACTCATTATACAAGATTGGACGATTAAGTTCGCAAACTCATCCTAGAAAAAGAGCTACATACCTCATTGCTGAATATCACTATGGTCACCTTCAAAATATTCCCCTTGGGAAGCTATGCATACACCAGTGACTAGTCCACCCTTCAAAGCAATTTTGGAACTCTTCTTCTGGAATGGCCATCAGAGCTGTCGTCATATTACCCTTGATGTCCTGAATTTTCATCAAAATGTCTTCCTTTCAATACTTCCTTTATGTTCAGGTAAAGAAAGAAGTCACTGGGGGCCAGATCAGGTGAGTAGGGAGAGTGTTCCAATATAGTTATTTGTTTACTGGCTAAAAACTGCCTCACAGACAGTGCCGTTTGACTGGTGCATTGTCGTGATGCAAGAGCCATGAATTGCTGAAAAGTTCAGGTCGTCTTAACTTTTTCACGCAGCCTTTTCAGCACTTCCAAATAGTAAACTTGGTTAACTGTTTGTCCAGTTGGTACAAATTCATAATGAATAATCCCTCTGATGTCAAAAAAGGTTAGTAACATCATTGCAACAAGTTTGCGAACTTAATTGTCAAGCCGCATGTTTATAAAATTTGTTGACTCAATTTTAAACATTAAAGGGAACCAAAATAAGTTCTTAAAAACATTTTAAAAGTCTTAAGACTTTTCACCATTTAACCTATCTTTAACATCTCAATGTAATTAAAGCTTGAAAAACATTTACCTTAACTAGAGGTCTAAGAAATCCATGGGATGATTTAATTAACTGTTTTATAAAAATGTTTTCAAATGCTGGCTTTATAAAAAGTGTAACTGATTTCAATGTTCTCAAAATAATGGAGAGCACTGGCCAAAGTTAGGGATTTTTTAACTTCAAAGTAGAAGTTTAAGCAAACAGAACAGAGGATGGTAAATTAATGGGAAGGGAAAGTTGCTTCCTGTCCAAAAGAATTGTTAATATTGTTATTTTGGATCCACAATTAACAAGGCAATTATTTTCCCATTACCACATTTTGAAAAACGTCCTTCATATACCTGGTTCATCAGTCCCCATTTCATTCCACTTATTGAGAAGCTCTTTCTGTTCTCCAGCTGGCCTCTAAAAAAGGTGATTTAAAAATTGGTTTCATTTTGTAAAGTTTAGCAGTGCAGCTGAAAAGTAAGAATCAATAACTTATCTAAAGGTTTAAATAAGCTACTACAACATAAAAATAATTTCATTACACCTGGTAAACTTTTTTGGAATTATACTTAAATTATTATTGGGTTAGGGCCGGCTGAGTGGCTCAGTTGGTTAAGAGCTCGCTCAAGAGTTTGAGCTCTGAGCAACAGCGGTTCGAGTCCAGCCCGAGCTGAGCAGCCACTGAGCTGCCAACAGGTAGCAGGATGGCTCAGCTAAAAAAAAAAAAATTATTATTGGGTTGTTGGAAAAGTCATGACACATTTTTGCAACGAAAAACATAGAAAAAATACATCGTGACTTTTCCGACAACCCAATATTATTATTTATCTATAACATCTACTCTCAATGGCTCAGCTAATGAGTCCAAGAAAAGAAGGTAACTAACCTGTACAGGCCAGTAACTTTGACAAAAAAAAACCTGCTCCTCAGCCACACACTACACCTCTTACCCCCTTCAGCAACCTCAGAAATGCGTTGCAAAGGGGACTGGCCAAGAGAGTATGACTGGGAGTCAGAAGCATCGTCTTTCTATATGAAAGACAGTATATTACACAATACTACGTGTTTAGACAGTTTTTCATATAAATGTATCCTTTTTTTTACACCATCCTTCTGGCGTCTTCTGTGACTTGTCCTTGGGTAGTATCCAAAGTCTATCCACTACATCCTGTCCAACAGCAGGGAATAAATAACAGGTAGGGAGGATGAAGAGAAACTTGTTCTCTCCGACTCATGAGCAGATATAAAGAATCCAGAACATTACTCAAGTGGATTTTCTCTCCTTTTTCATCTCTCCCCACCTCAAAGCCCAGATAAATGTTGAGTATGAGACCCAAGTAAATCTAATACTATTCAATCTAAATAGCTCTGCAGAGAGATGACAAATGGTTGTTTTCATTCCCTTTGTTAATACTGAGAGGCAGTACCATATTGGTTATTACAAGATGACAGTGCCTGAACTCCACCTCTAAATCAACAATATGGTAATTGTGCTAATTAGCCAAAAAGTAAGGAGACTAAACGTAATTAAAATCTTTAAAGTGCATTGATAACCTTTACAGCCAAATCTCTACATAATCTATACTGTAGATTCTATACTTTATTTCTATTTATTCTCGTTATAGGTTTATTACGAAAAGCATTACAACACACGTAATAGAAATCTATATAGAATACACCCACATAATTGGCCCTTTACAGATTTGTTTCAAAACAAAGTGATATACTAGTAAAAAAAAAAAAAGATAAATCTGCCTAACAGTTATAACCTCATGATACTTCCTAGTGCTTGATTCACAATAAAAAACTTAAATGTTAAAAGTACCTTTCGTGCCAATGGGATACTCAGCTCAGTGCACATACTATTTAAACTCTTCAAAATTCTTTTTTCCCAACTTCCCTGAAATATAAGGAACAATCTATTATTGTTTCTGGTTAACAATACTGAAACTGATTCAAACAAACAAACAAACAAACAAACAAAACACTGGTAAAGAAACTAAAGATATTATGAGTTATATAGAACTTGGTGAGGTTGGTTGAGATTGGTTATCTTCATTCATTAGTTCAGTCAACAAATACTGATTACTGCCTACTATGCACCAGATACTATCCTTAGTGCTGTGAACTAAGCCATGAATAACAGTCCTCATAAAACTGACATTCTAGTGAAGGATGGGAATGGGGATAGATAAAAAAATAAAATAAAAAAATCTGTAAGTCTGGTGATAAACATTAAAAGAAAAAATAGCAGATAATAAAAAGGAAAATTAAATTTAAACATTTTATAAATGTTTGATACTCAGGAATCACACTAATGACCTAGCAAAAAATAAAATTTTACAGAAACTATTATATTGTCACTTTTCCAAACATGACTTTTCAGCTCTAAATACTTCAGTATGAATGTTCTAAGAATAAGAACCTTCTCCTACATATCCATAATACCACTATCACACACACCAAATTAATAATATTCCAGGTCATCTAATATTCAGTCCATAATCAAAATTTTGCAGTTATCCCCAAAATGTCTTTCACACATTTTTAAAATCCAGGCTCCATTAAAAAGTCATTCATTACATTATACTTGGTTGTTAGGTCTCTTTTAGTGTAGCTTAGTCTAGAGTCTCTCTGTCATTTTCTATTTCATGATAATTGACTGTTCTGAGGAGTCCAGGACAGCTCTCTTTTAGAATGTGTCACAATCAGGATTTGTCTTACTGCTTTTCACAGTATTGATTACCTTCTTCTCTATCCCCTAAATTTCCTATAAGCTTGAAATAATAAGTTAATTTTAATAGTATGTCATAGATTGATTATCCATATATTAATATATCATATTTCAGTAAGCTATTCTGTTTAATGCCAAGATAAAATGTCATAATTTTTTTTTGGCTTTTTACTAAAATATGCCTAGGCCTAAAAAGGCCACTTCAGACTCACTGAAACTAAAATAAAATAATATCAAAGGTCCAAAATTTAGACCAAGTAAGGAGAAAAGAACTATATTATATTATTCATAAAGGACAGTTATAACTAGTCAATAAAAGTAAAATAATAATAATTGTTCCTTTATGTGGTTGTTATAAAGATTAAAGATGTAAAGCACCTTGAACAGTAACATCATCATAATAATCATTCAATAATTGATAACTTTTACTATAGTTATCATTATTCATAGCTTCTCTGTTAACACATATTTAAATACATTCATTACTCTCTTTATCTGGAATATATTCTCAATGCTCTACTCCAATTCCCAGCATACTTATTCCTGCTTTATCTGAATACATCTTACTCACCTTTCAGGTCTTCACCTCTATTAAGCCTTCTCTTGCCTGGTCCCCCACCCCAGGTGGTATTAGGTGCCTACTGCATATGAGCTCTCAAACCACCAGTTCCTTCGCCTATTATGGTGCATTATCACACTTTGTCTAGCACATAAAAGACGCTCAATAATTGGACAGATTTCTATTCTAAGTAATGTTGCAAGCATTTAAATATTTTTGATATGAATGAACATATCAAAACGAATGAACAAAAATTTAGTCATCTATAGGAGAAATGTAGAGCTGTGTGAAATGTATAAGGTCTGTTTTATTAAATATATGCAAATAGATTTTCAAGAATAAAATAATACTCTTAAATTGTATAAAATACCCCCCAAAGTAATTCCATTTACTGGCTAATTTTCAATTCTCTTTACTTTTTTTACTGTAAATATTTCTCTTAGGTCCAAATACATTAGAGTACTTTATTCATGATCAAACATTAATTACAACACAGCCCACTTTCACCCCCAACATTCTTATTCTCAATTTATCTGGATACATTTTATTCAACTATTAGACCTCAGCTTAAACAACATTTTCTCTAAGAAGCATTCTGTCACTTGCCCCCCCCAACTCCCGACTGTGGCGGGAACAGGTACAAGAAAGCTCATATTTTTTTACAAAGTAATTTCATTTTAATCATTACTATAAAAATAAAATTTGCATAAAGATTAAAGATCCAATTTTAAATTATTTATTCTATTATATAAAGAACCAAATCGCTATCTATGGAACTATGATTCCAAATATCCTCATTTTCACGCGGGGCGGAGCGGGGTGCAGGGAACCTCGGAGCCGCCGGCTTCTCGGGCGGGAGGCGGGCGGCGGGCCCGCGGCGAGCGCAGCGCACGCAACAGCTGGCGGGCTGACTGAGGCGGCCTGAGGGCGGACCTTCAGGCTACCGACCGTTTTGCGGGTAAAGCTGCCTGTCCCGTCTGAAGGCTTCCTGTCTCCAGGCTGTGTATGTACATTATTTCATTACGCTTCACCTTTAAGTTTCCAGCGTTTAGAGAGAATCACTAGAGCTACACCTCCCAACAGGCGCAGTGTGTGCACGTGCGCCCCTCAGATGCGTGTCATCTGGCTTCCGTCTATTTTCAATCTTTTTTTCTTAAATGTGAATTATGTTTGCTCAGGATTATCTGAATTTGGATCTTGCCTCTCTTTAAAGTACAGCTTAATTTTCTTGAACTTGAAGAGGTCTTACTAAGTTGTAAGAATTATGCAAAAACTCACTCTTCAAATTAAAAAAAAAATCCTCATTTTCAACCACTCATAAAAAGGACTATTAAACTAATAAAAAGACAACTCTCCGATATAAAAAAAAAACTAAAGTTACAATAGACTTCAACGTGTGGCTCATAACAAACATATATACTGCACGTATTTTCCAGATGGCAAAACACAATTTTAATACAACATAAAGCCCACTAAAACCTCAAACATGAAGGCCATTCTAAATAGAATGACACCTTCTGGAATGATCCCTTAACAAAATTTTCTGTAACACATCTGTCAACTTATCCTTTAAAAAATTATTTTGGCAAAAATATCTCATTTAAGTATTTATTTTCTATCAACTACAATTTTGAGTGATTAATCATAGTTCTCCTAAATGGATATTCCACTCTACCAAGTATTTCAATGTGTGAACTTTACATTTAACATTATATTTTAGAGAGAGAGAGGAAATAGTTAAGAAAAAAGTTACAAAGAAATCAGACATCAGAGGAAAGCATTCTGAATGAAAAGTTTAGGAAACAGAGCTATGTAATTTACACGTGTTTACATGTTATTTTATTAATCCTGTGATATACATATCATTACCCTCATTTTATGAATAAGGAAGCTTTTAAAAAGAACACATGAGAGTAGAATGAGAAAGAATATTAAGAACTGAAGCAAAGCTGATCAAATTCTATTCAATTACCATTTTTTTTGTGTTCCACAACTAAAGCAAAATCTTAGGAATAACCCAGAAGAATATGACTGAAAATTGAAGGAAGGAAAGGGGAAAAGTATGTTCAAGTTTGAGAAAAAATGGGATTTTTGAGGTTAGAACGGGAAAATGAGGTATAGTGGCTGAGTTTTCAAATAATGAAGACACTGATTCAACAAATATTTATTGGGCACTTATTTAAACACATGCCACAAAAGACGAATAAAAACAATTTCCTGTCCCTAAGAAACACATCACTTTTGTGGTGGAGGTGGGGAGGATAAAACAGATAAATAATATGGGAAAGGTTCAAAAAGTTCATAGGGGCTGTACCAGTCCATATGTCATAAGCCACAGAAAGAATATAAAAGAATGAGCAAAGAAACAGGAAACTGGATATACCAAACTTCCAGTTGTCAAGAGAATACATACCACTTCCTTTAAAATTTTTTAAAAACTGAAAGAAAAGTGATCATAGTGGTTCAGCACATCTTCTCCACCCACTGTTCCATATTTATGATACAATGACGAGGTTGGTAGGGCCTTTCCAAGCTGCCCTTTGCAAGAACTACAATCAGATGGTCAGAGAAGTCATTTCCACAGACATCAGAAATAGGAATAGAGTTTCCTGACAATGAGGGGAAATCCAAGATGAATAAAGTGGCTGCTTTCAAGCTGGGTCACCCTTTAGGTTCCCTCAAAAACTATAATCATAATTAAGTGGTATTCATTCTTTCCTTTGTTTACTCACTGACTCACTGACATATATGGTGTGCCTTCTATATGCTAAGCACAAAACTAGGACCAGTGGGTAAATGTTATAAGGGGCACATGACCATTTAATATAAAAAAGAAACTTTCTAACAAGTAAAAGACAACCAAAATGGCATAAGTCAGTGAAATCATGAGTTAGTTCCATGGTTTCAGAAGTACTTGAGGAAAAGGAGATGAACTCTAGAGTTGGACTGGATAAATGTAAAAGTCCAGTTTAGCTCTAGCTTTCATTTTTCTCAGGTTCTATTTGTAGAGATGGTTATATAACCCCCAAGTCTCAAAAATAAATGCTCAAGAAAAAGATAGTTATTCCTGTGCTATTAAATAAAAATTTCAATATATACTTAGCACAAAAAAGAGTGAAAATAGCGAATAAGTTCTTAAAAAATGACAGTGCAGTAATACAAAACAAAAAGTAATGTTTTCTACCCAAAAGACTTACAAAATAAATAAAGCTTTAAAATGTTATTTAAAAGAAAATGAATGGCCTTTTACATTTAAAATGTTTAAATAGGAAGACATTACCTTTTACCCAAACCCATATCCTCTCCAAATGAAATTACAGCTGCCTTCAAATCAGTTTCCCTACTAATTGGAATCTACGATATTAACTCAAAGGATTTCAAGTTTTTAGAAATAAAGTAACTTCTAAGCAATGAGAGGCAACAGATTTATAAAAAAAAAATCACAATTGTATTGAAATCTTTAAATGGGTATTAGCTATCACCTTTTTTATAACAATGAAAATAAGAAGTCTTTAAAAACTGCATAATATATATATGAATAGCATTTAAAACAAAACTATGAAATAACAATTAGTTTCTTCACTCTGTCAAAAAATAAAGTAAAACA